TACGATTTAATAATAATATTATTTTATTATAAAGTAATAAAATTTTACTATAAAAAAATTTTCATTTTTCATTTGTGATACATGAACGCGTATACTGTTGAAATCGTCGATCGTGAAATATATCAAAATTCTTAAAATTGTTTCAAAGTCTGGCCATTGCAATAGTCAATGCGATTGTCACGTCACGGATTATATTTAATTCTTCAAGTTATTCATTTCATAATGTTATTTATTTATTTATTAATTCCTCAAATTATTCATTTCATAATGTTATTTAATAATCAACAGTATTCATATTATTGTCGTTCTGAAATATACAGAATGTTGATTCCCGGCAATCGGCTGTAATTAATTAAAATATTCCATTCGTTTCCTTGATTCTCTGAATAATTCAGTTATTAATTACTAAAAGAAATGGCGTACTGGTTATCTCGCGTTAATCCTCCTGCGCCGACAACCGGTTCGCGGACCATAACGAGTGACCGAACCGTATACAACAATTTGTCGCCTTTCTTTTTCTTTTGATATCGCTGAACAGAAATTATTAAGAAGTAACAATAACTTATCGTTTCGTGTTACATTCAAATACACAGAAAACTGAGAAAACGTTGCAATTTGGGACAATAGATTGTCGATCGATTGGCACGCGGTTAAAAGACTGAGAGTTTACCTGATAGTCCATATAGTTGCCGTAGCCCATGTGGTTGCAGGTGCAGGCACACGCCTGAATGTGCCTCCGCATGTCTAGTTCAACCTCCTCGCCGCAGACGCCCCTGCTCGCGGCCATCATGGTGTCCCCCATGCAGTAACCGCTGGTGCAATACATCCTCGGATCGCTCTGGTCCAGGTATCCGCCGCCCGTGTCATCGTACCCGAGTCCACTGGCGCACCTGGAATCCGAGGTATATCCCACGCGCGATTGGGGACGTTCCTCGTATCCCAGCCTGGACTGGGGTCGATGGAAGCTCGGTGGTACATCCTGCGACAGTAGGAGAGAAGGTTTTGCGATAAGCTGGCGTTCACCTGGTGCATTATTGAAGAGGGTGCGGCGAGGTAATGTGCGCTGGGATTTCGAACGGGAAGCCTGCTACCGAGTTTCGGGGGGTATTTAACAGGTTTCCTGGCTGATTAACGTTGGAATATTACTCAGTATCGGTGGAAACGAGAGTGCACGTTTCTGCATTTCGCCACGAATCACTTCGCTGTTATTATTGATTTAATTGACGAAAATCGTATTGGCAATCGGTGAAGTTTCACGCCGAATTCTGGACATTTCTGGACATTTCGTAGAAAGAAGATCGAGAGATCGTGAAAATGGAGATTTATCTTATGTTTACAATTGTCTCAATAATTTTAATTCGTCGATCTCGCGTCGCAATGGACAAATACGAATTTAGCGAACCCGCGGCGATTTAATGGTTCGCGAAATATTTGATGACGGAGGTGTCACCTCGACGAAGCTTTAACCCGTGGATCTACGAAGTCTGCAAATATTTGATTTATAACGGAAGTTTCGGTTCATTTTCAAATAATTGACAATCTCGTCTCGGGTATTTCCGTGATCTTTCTTCTCGAAACAACACTGTCCGTAAAAAATGAATTAATCATTCACGCGTATCGTCTTCGATTCCTGTCCTCGATAAAAGTCTAAAAAGAAATCTAGAAACCATCGTGTACGAATTTACACCCGTCAGTGTCAGCCCGGTTTTCGCGTCGTTGCAAAGCGCACGATATATTTATATTTGCAGGGACTAGAAGCGCGAATACCCAACCGAAATTAATTCGTCTTCATTAATTTTTAATTCGAGAAGCCAGAAGCAGTTCCTCGGCCAAAAGACGACCCAGTTGATAGGTTAAACGCGGAGATCGGCGGAGGTCAGGTCAGAAGAAGGTATTTGCACGAACGGGGATGATTAAGCGAGGGTGAATGCTGTGTTATGAATCGCCTTGTCTGGTGACGAATATGGAAGGCTACATCTTTGTTTTGCAGAGGTGTAACAAAAAATCTGTACGTAGAGAATGAATTCTCGTTGAATTTTCGTGAATTATCGTAAAATCTAATTTTCGTTGTGATTAATAAATTAATTAAATTCGTAATAATTGATGACTGATTTTATTGGCACAAAATAATATTTGCAACTGTGTACGTTGTCTTCCCTTGAATTATCACGTACCAGAGTAACTTAACCCTTCAAGTGTTTAACCCGTATTATCATCTTCAAAATTCAAAAAGGATAACATGTTGCAATGTATCAAGAGGTACATGTTTATTTTCTAAATCAATAGGGAGGGATAAATTTGTCTTTGGTAATCTAAATTTGTCTCATATCTCCAATTTTTGGTAATTTTAAGCACTCGAAGAACTAAAAAAGTTTTATTAAGAAAGAAAGATCTCCAATATTATCTAAATAATTAATAAAAATAAATAAGTCGTCCAATATTAATCTAAATAATGAATAATAATAAAATAAAGTAATAATCTAGAAATAAAATAAAATAATTATCTAAATAATTAGCAATCGTATTTAATACGAATGAACAATGCTTCGAAGGTTCAACTAACGAGCCTCTTTCGAAGATTTTTTACTCGCGTTGCTTTGTGCCGATCGACGCGTCAATTAATTTCAATTTATTAATCAATTGACAAAAATAAAATAAAATAATAACCTAGAAATGAAATGAAATAATTATCTAAATAATTAGCAATCGTATTTAATACAAA